CCAATAAGAGATGGGCGAGGTCGCTGGTACTCACAGGTGAGTCTGACAGGTGAAATTCATTTATTTGCTCACATTTCTTGTAAATTATTTGATCTGATGCGGGAAGCTGTTTGATAATTTATTTTCTTTAGAAATGAAAGATGAAATGCAACAAAGAAAATGGAGTAGTTGTAGCGCAGGTGGTTGACCAGGTCTGCTAGTGTAAAGGTTGAACTGCGTTCCAAATAACTTTTGGGAAAGTTGCTCTCCAGTGCATCCATCAGAGTGTGAATGTGTGTGAATATTAGATAGAAAGCACTGCATAGTATTAAAAAAGTGCTTGTATGAATGGGAGAATGAAGCATGTTGAGGCATATAGCGCTTTTCATTCTGTTTGAGGACTTTATACAACATGCCACTGACACCCATTCATTAAATTCATTCATACGATTGTCTTTGTTACATGGACTGGTTGTCATATAGCACTTTTCTGCACTCCCCGAGTACACAACGTGCTATAAAAGAACCATTCTGTTTGCCAAAAGCAATTAATTAAATGTTTTAACTATTTTTCACTAGTTTAATAGTTTTTTCTTAATGATTTAATTAATTTAATTTATTGATGGTTAAGTCGTGCTATGAATGACAGTTGAGCTGTGATAAACATAGCAGGCTTCAGGGCTTACCAAACTGATGATGATGATAATGTTCACCTTTCTCACCTCCTGGCTCAGGATCACCCTCTAGACCAACGTCAGGATGAGCTTGAGCTGCGGCGACAACAGGAAGTGGAGTTTCAGGCACGGTACCGTAGTGACCCAAACCTTGCCCGATACCCAGTGAAGACACAACCAAGTGAAGAAACCATGAGGATGTTAGCTCAGGTAGGCAGGGTCCGCCACCAGCGCCGCCACAGCGATGTTTCCCTGGCAACCGCAGAGCCTGACCACCTCACCATGAGGCATTCAGGTAAGGGCATATCCGCCCATCTACTCACATCTTATTTTGTCTCTGTCAGTGAGCCCCAGGGCAGCTGTGGCTACAATGTAGCTTGCCATCACCGGTGTGTGAATGTGTGTGTGAATGGGTGAATGACTGAATGTAGTGTAAAGCGCTTTGGGGTCCTTAGGGACTAAGTAAAGCACTATACAAATGCAG